GGTCGATTAGATAGAAAAATCGAATTCCCGGCTCCGAATGAGGAAGCTCGTGCTCGGATAATGCAGATACACTCTAGAAAAATGAATGTCAAGTTAGTTTTTTCATTTTGTCATCCTCTGAATCCTCTTCTATTCCAGCAAAGACGTCAATTTTGAGGAGCTGGCCCGGTGTACAGATGATTTCAACGGTGCCCAATGTAAAGCTGTTTGTGTAGAAGCGGTAAGTTTTTTTTACAAGGTTTCCCTGAGTTTCTCACTCTCTCGTATGATAAGCGGCAAGTTTTCTAATCCGGTCAGGTGTATGCATATTAGAATCTCCGCTTATTGTTATTATTATTCTGCAATTCCGTAATCGTCTTTTAGTTAGTTAGCTGTACAGTATGACTGGTAGATTCGGTTTGATTCTTGCTTGATGTTGGCGTAAACAAGTCCTGAGNTCCTGAGCAACGAAACCAATTATGGAATCCAGCTCATTATTTCTTCGTTTCAAAATCAGGAGAGTAGGAGTCTCGTTGCCGTACTTTTCCTATAGGATTTTGTTCTTATTCTTTCACCTTGAAGTTTTGCATTTATCGCTTTGATTATTTGATGTTCGTTTCTGATTCTTCCAGGGAATGATAGCTTTGAGGCGCAATGCGACGGAAATCACACATGAAGACTACATGGATGCTATTCTGGAAGTGCAAGCCAAGAAAAAGACCAACTTGAACTACTACGCCTAACAATTGTGATGTTCGTGTTCGATTCCGTTCACCCTCCGGACGTTTGTGGCCACCTCGTCAGAGCCCTTGTGCGGTTAATTTACACAAAGCCAATGATTTGTGGTCATGTTCTTGCAGCACATAAAGTCACCTCAAATCCGAATTTTCTTTTTATCGTCTTTGCTGAAACGCCCCCACATAGAATTGTGGCCTAATCTTTCACGAAAATGTTTTCCAGAGATATAGGGGTCGTGTTCTGACCAAAAACGTATGCATTCAGTTTTATACCACCAGGAGATTTTCAAGACGTTCCCCCGTCATTAAGCAGATGTTCGTACTACGTGGAAGATGATGGGAAAGGCGTTCGTCGCGTTATCACTTCACTCTATCTAGCTTTGCACAGGTACATTTTACGACAGCAACCAAAACCGGCGCACGAAAGTGCATGGTTAATGGTTGTTCAAACTGAACTGAACTGAACATTTTACGAATGCAGTTGCCAATAGACTGCGGATGTATTTCCGATGAATGAATCAAAAAGGAAGCTCACCCCCCTCCGGGTGTTGTTTGGTGAAAACGCATATTTTAGCGTATTCACTTGTGCGAAATAAAACACGAATAAAAATTCCAAACATGCTTTTTAGCAAAACCTTTCAACATTCTTTACGGTCTGGTCACAAATGGAATGATAATTTTTCTGCGTGCGATGCATTTTTCATGTAGCATGAGCAAATTGTGGCATACCGCAACAAATGAGCAGTCTCAAACAGACATCGGCAGTACTACCAAGGCGTCATCTTTTCAGTCTTTCCCTCCAACTTTCCTCCTTTCTAACCCCCTGGAAACACGCCGTGATTTTTCCCATTCCCAAACGCGGTGATCCTTCTAAGTCCAACAACTATCGACCAATCTCCCTCACATCTGTTCTTTCGAAAGTATTTGAATCTATCGTTTCTGACCAACTATGCAC